AAAAGGTGAATTTCAGCTCCTCTCCTGGCTACATCGAATCCCAAACCCTCTCCTCGAACAGCCACAACTCCAGCACAGGGTTACAAGGAGTTGGTGGAACAGCCACGATGGTTTTTAACCACCCTGACAGTACTCAGAACACAGCTATTGCTCCTCAGCTGGTCCAAGTGGAGAGCCTTGTCACCTCTGCAGACACAAGTGTCATCATCCCTCCTCTGTGTCATGGCTTCTGCTAGGGCCAAAGGACAGAAGTGTTCATCCAAACCTTCCAACTCCTGCTCTTTCCAGCTGCTCATGTCATGATACCGAGGAAGTTTTATATTTTATTATGTGTTTGGAGGGAGTTCCCCATGCTTGCAGCACAGTTCTGCCTAAGGAATGCTGCAAATTATTGGAAACATGGCAAAACTCCAATTTTCTAGCAGGTCCTTGTCAGCAAAGTGCCACACTGGATTTTCTCCTGAGCTACATCTGTAGGGTGAATGAAAGGTTTTCACTTGGCTTTATCTTCCAACAATGATTTCGGTGCTGAAGGGATTGTTTCAAGGGATTGGCAAAGAGGGAGGAGGACACAGTTATTGTTCATGCAAGAAGTCTCTAAAGCTCTGGATGCTGGAGCAGGAGGGTTACGGCTGGGGAAACACTGCTGGCTTCCATGCTCAGTGTCTCTAAAAGTTTCCAGCCCATGGAAGTTGTTTTTCCACTTCACCATCTCTTAAATCAGGAGTTTCCAGTCAGGAAAAAGGGAGAGGTTTGGATCCACAACACCAGGCACTTCCAGTTCCTGTTCCTTCCAGTGATCAGAGGGAGCCTCCTTCTGCCAGCTACAAGTGCCAGCAACACTCAGGGAAAGATCTAGGATCTTCCTCCCAGGGATTCATTCAGCTTCCACAGGCATTCCCAGTGTGGATGAGAAGCCAGGACCTCTCTGACAGCATCAGATCACTCACAGAGAGAGGAAGTTCCACTCCATTTTGTCGTTGCAAGGAGCTCCCTCCCCTGGCTTTCCCTCAGCTCTCCAAACTCCTCCAGCCTGTCGCAAAATACATCCCTGACAGCCAGGAAAAACAGTACTTGGGTCAAAATACTGCACAGCATGGCCCAGTATGGTTTGCAAAGCTCTGGAAAAAAGGGGAAGCATTTTCCCTGCAGGGTAAACAAGACTGTGTTCCGTGCTCAGAGAGCTCTATGCAGCAGGACCTGAGGAATCTTGACAGTTTGATGCACTAAAAGGGCATTTTGGGGGATCTGTGGGAGGCACTTTGCATCTGAATAATGATTTTTAACATTCCAGGATTGGACTTGTCTCAGCTTTGCTCCCCAGCTTTGAGAAGGAAGTAAAAATCCAGGAAACTCAATTCCTCCCCAGAAAACATTCCTATTTTCTGCAGTCTCCCTCGTAATGTCACGTTCCAACTCCCTTGGAAGTGCAGCAGAAAGAGGGTTGGATGAGCCCTCTACATCCACACCCAGCAGTCAGTGTCATCTTTATCCACTAAAATCCCTGACTCTGAGGTTTAACAATCCCAAACACCTGGACCCAACCCCCAGGACTGGTGCCCAAGCTCACCCCTCTGCTGTGAGGAGTGGAGGTATCTGGAGGATTGAGCGTCAGAAGGCTGTGTCTCTCCTCCAGAGATTTCCTCTTTCCAGATGTTCAGGTCAGTCTCTACACGGCCATCCTGGGAAAAATGGGATGAAAACCTCAATTTTAAACCTCCAGTCTTGGGTGCTGAAGGTACAAAATCACTGATGCAGGACTGTGCACCCTCTGATTTCCGCTCAGGGGAGACAATTCCCCTCCCGACCTCTCCCCGACAAGGGTGTTGAGTCTCTCATTATCCAATTAATCATGGAAAAGTTCATTATGAGCCCACCCACGCCCACCAGAGAGATAAATACAGCAGCTGCAGTCCCAGGGAGCTTCCCACGCGAGCTCTGCTAAGCACTCTTGCTAATTAGCGACATTACTTCTCCCCTTCCCTGTCACATGAACATCTACCTATTAAAAACCCCCAAACCTCCCTAAATTGAAAAAAAAAACAAAACAACAGCGATTTAAACATTGCCTTTCACAGCTGTCACCACCCAGCCATCCATCCTAGGAAGATGAAAGGGAAGAGGGGGTTTGTTTCCTACCCACCAGCATCTCTCGCCTCGTACGTCAGCTCGGGGAACAACACAGCCCCAACCCTCGCTGCCTCTGCCCACAGGGGTCTGTCCTCATTTCCAGGAACGGATCCTGCAACGTTTTTAATGAAAAAAATAAAGTTTAGAGCTGATCTAAACGGAGCAGCTCCACATAATAATAATATGGATCATGAAATAGGTGGAATAGCTTGTGGTTAGAAGTGAAAGGCAAGCTGCGAGAGTGGAAATGATCACAAAGTGGAAAAAATGTGGTGAAAAGGAAATAAAAGGAGAAAGACACGAGGAGAGGGACATCCTGGACGTCCCTCAGGGAAGAGACATCCTGAAGACACCTTGATTATTTGGGTTTCAGGCTTATGAATGTTGCTGGTGCTGCTCTGGACACCAAGAGCCTGAGATCTGCCCTGAAATCCCTCCTGTGAATGCAGCACCCGGGGATGACAAACTCTTGTCTCCTCGGGGAAAAACACCTTTTGGAAAGCTTGCTGAGGGCAGGAATCTCGGGAGAAGCCTCTGATGCAGATACAAAACTAAGGAAACGGGACTGGTCCGGGAAATGTGTCACCCATGCCCGCCCGCAGAGGGCACAGACAGCCAGGATGGGCTGTCACCTCGCCAAAAGGCCAGAACAAGGGAAAATCCCGCTTTCCTTGCGGCTGTCCTGGTCCCTGAGGTACGGGGATGTGTCTGGCGCTGGCTTGCCATCGGGAGGATCTTTCGGTGGCCCGAGAGGACGGTGATGCCCCAAGCCCGGGAGACACATGGCTTCGTTCCTGGCCTCGCCACGAGTCACCTCACAGCTGTGGAGCTTACACAGCGGACAGGGGTCCCAGCCAGGAGCCCCTCGGTGCACTCACCACAGCCGCTCGTTCCTCTCACGACAACCACGAGCTCCCTGCTCCCCCCATGACATCCAGAAGCCCCATTCCCCTCACGACAGCCACCAACCGCCGTTTCCTCTCATGAGGAGCTCCCGGCTCCCATTCACAGCAGCCAACAAACCCTGACAAGATCCGGCAGCCCCTCATTCCTACCGCGACAAAACCCCGTCCCTACACGACAGCCGGAAACACCCCGTTTCCCCGGGCCCGCCAGCAGGACCGCCCCCCTCGCAGCCTGCCCTCAAAGAACCGGGGCCGCGCACCGGGGTGACCCCCAAACCGGCTCCGTTACGCCACAGCCAGCGAGCCGGGTCGCAGCCCCCTCCCCTGCCAGCGCCCGTGTACTACTCAGTCCTCTCCACAGGCCCTCCAGCGCTCTCCCGGGGCCCCCATGCCGCACCTGCCATGCCGGGCCCGGCGGGGCCTCACCCGCAGCCCGCGGCCCTCACCGTGACACCGACCAGACAAAGGGCGCCGCCATCTTGGCGCCGGGCGGAAGCGGCGTCGCCCCGGCCCGCCCAGATGCCCCGGCGTCACTACGCATGCGCAACGGGGCCTGGTCACCTTCCCGCCGCAGAGTCGCCGCCATTACGGGGGGGCGGTGCTGAGGGACCGAGGGGAGACGAGCTGTGAGGGTCGAAGGTGCTAGTGCCAGCGCCGTTGCCATCTCTAACCGTGTTCTCGGTCGCCACATCACCCCTGCTTAAACACCCCCGAGGTGGCCTGGCCACCCCTTCCATGAAGGAATTTACCATATATCTTATCCATATATTATTACAGCTAACCCTGACAAGCTTCAATAAAGCCTAAGTCATCTGAAGGCTGGATATCCGAGATCTTAAGTTTATGGCCCTTCAAGGATGTTGGAGTAACCAGAAAATACAGAGGAGATTGAGGTCTGGAAAGCTGGAAATCCGCTGGCTGAGAGGAAGATGATAAAAGGACTCTAGAAATCAATAACCAATAGAGGACAGTATGCTAAATAATGAAGATAAATACGTGACTTAGAACCAATGAACATTAATTTATAAATAAGTTTAAAAGTGTTGTATCAGGCTACAAGGGTACCTTTGATCCCCTCGTCCATATGGCTGATGAGTTTAGACACGTCCCAGAAAACTGGGTTTTTCCCCCAGCTTTCCTGCCACAGACGAGCTGCAGAAGCGATTTGGGCAGAAACAGGGCTGGCTTTTCCCATTTTCTTCCTCCCTTCTCCACATCTCCCCGGGCGATGGCCACTAGATGGCAACCAGTGACCGGAGCTGGGTGCCGTGGTAGCTTTTGGGGACGGAGCAGTCGCGTCCCGTTGCCGCTGCCCTCCCTCGAGTTTCCCCAGCCTTCGCTGCCGTTCATTCACCGCTTTTAACCCTTTTTGCTGCAGCGGGGAGTGTCCTGAGCGCCAGCCAGAGCAGCCGTGCCTGGGACGCTGCCAGGTGTGTTAGTACCAGTCACGAGTGGTTCGGGCTGCCCCGGGGCGGGAGCAGCAACACGAGCCGGGCGCTGTGTGTAGCCATAAACAGGCGCTGGTCCCGGGCAGGCGCCTCGCCTCCCCTCGCCGCTGTGGGTACACAGGGCACACAGGGGGACGGAGCCAGGCCCTTCGCTGCGGCAGGTTTTGCCCTCCCCCAGAAAATAAGCCCTTGGGTTGGGGCCGTCATCCCGGCCTTGGGGCATCCCGGGGGTGGTGGGTGAGGGTGGGCGAGGGGAGGACCTAGAGGGTTTGGTGCCCTTCCAGGTGGGTCGGCAGCCGAACAGCTGAGGGAATAGCTCTGAAATAGAACTTCTGGGAAGAAATGAGTCACCCCGGGCTGCAAATAAACAGGGCAGCGGGCGCCCGAGCAGCTCCTGGGGCGGGTTTTTGTCGGGATGGCGGAATATCCCTTACTGAGACACCCCTCGGGTCTGAACCCACACTCCTTTTTGAGGGTAAAGCAGCAAGGAAACATCAAAAAACGGATTAGGCAGCAGTCAGACGTTCTCAATAATTTATCCCAAGCTCTATATACAAAGACAAGCTCTGGCGGAGGGTTGGGAAGGGAACCTGGCTCCCGGCAGGACTCTTGGCACGCTGGATCTTCCCCCTCAACACGCGCCAGCTAAAAATTGCCGGAGCTGGGACTCCTCTCCGGAGTTTCTCCGGTGGGTGACGGGATGCATTCAGCACAGGTCTGACCCCACTCTGGAGGGAGCGTTCCCATTCCCTACCCCGCGTCCCGCCTCCTTCCCAAATCACCCATTTAATTAGCGAGGGAGGGAAAGGACAGGGGGGAAAGGAGTTCCCCCGACCCCTCAGATCTTGATCTCAGTCCGGAAGGTTTGCTGGACGTGCTCGGAGTGCTTGGCCGGCCGGCGCTGAGCCCGGATGGTCAACATCCCATTATCCCCCAGCGAGGACGACACGGACGTGGGGTCCACGTCTTCGGGCAGCTGGCACTTGTGGGTGAAGGTGTTCATGACGGTGCCATCTGTGGCCAACTGCGAGGAAAAAATGGGTGAAAAGAGGCGATTTGGGGGTGCAAGCGGAATGGGGACTCATTATTCCCTGAGGTCCCCATTAATTAACGGTGAATTAAACCCCGCTGAAATTGTGGCTGCAGCTGTTTGGGAATTGGGTGGGAACTGGGTGGTCCCCGCACCCCCCGGTGAGGATTTTGGGGCCCCCCCTTTGGGGGTGAGCAGGAAAGGGTGGGAGCACCCACCTTCTCGGCGTGCACCTCGATCTGGTTGTTAGAGGTGGTGACAATGATGTCCTCGGGCGCGAAGTCGCTGACGTCCACCGTGAACTGATAGGTGTTCCCCAGGGTCTTCACCACGCCCGTGTTACCGGGGCGAGCTGCTGGACAGGGTTTGGGGGATCACAGCCTCGGCTTGCTGAGGATCCCCCCTAGATGCCTCCTGAGTGCGCCCCAAACTCACCTGGGAACCCCAAGGTCTCCCCGTGGGGCCGGACAAAACTCCCGAAAAGCTCCATGGTGCTGGCGGGAGAGGATTTCACCTTCACCCACGGCTTGCCCCCACCTGCGACCCCCAGCTCCCGCCGGGGGGAAGAGCAGAACCCTCTTCCTCGTTCTCCTCCCGGCGAAGGCGACGCCGGATCGGTTATTTCGGGATATTTCGACTTGACGAGCTTTTTAAAGCCTCGTTAAGGCTCCCGGCCGCCTGCCAGACCTCTCGTAAAACCGGCTAAATTTAGGTCTTGCGCCGGAGACGGTGGAAATTTTTCCCCTCCCCGTCCCCCCCAGCTCAACGCCATGGAATGCGATGCCTATTATTAAGGAATAATCATGATAATTAATTAAAATACTTATTAAATCCTCCCTGCCGCGGGATGTACGTTGGGATTGGGAGCTAGGAGGTGGCGGGGGGGGGGGGGGGGGGGAGAGGAAACCCGGCTCGCTCCGGCCCGAGCGGGTCCGTCGGATTCGTCAAGGTCGTTTTTAATGAGCTCGTTTGCAAACTCAGTCGGGCAGCGGAGGCCGAGGCGGGAGGACGGGTCAGGGGGTGCTAAAAAAAAGGGGTGCAGTTCCTAAAAACGTCCCCGGGATGGAGCGCCCCGTTCCCGGGGGGCTGGGGGGAGAGAAGGAAGAGGAGGAGAGGGTGCTGGTGTCGGAGCACCACTGGAGACCCTGCCCCACCGCCCGGAGAAGGGTCCGAGGTGAGACCCCCACCCAAAAAGGGGGATTCTGGAGGCGGGGGGATTTTGGGGGGATCAGCGCCCTATTTCCCTCCGCGCAGGGTGCTTGGAGTGGGTGAAGCGGCAGCTGTTCCGCGTCGGGGAGGATTGGTACTTCCTCTTCATCCTGGGGGTCCTCATGGCCACCATCAGCTTCACCATGGACATCATCGTCGCCAGGCTCCACGGGGGTAAACGAGGGGCGCCCTGAGGGGCTCCACCGGCGTTTAGGGGTTCACCGAGGATATGGGGGGGATCTTTCAGGGAGTGCATCTCCCACACTTCTCCTCCAGCTCACATGTGGCTGTACCGAGAGATCGGGGACATCGGGGTGCTCAAGTACCTCTCGTGGACCCTGTACCCCATGGCACTGGCCGCCTTCTCCACCGGCTTCTCCCAGAGCATCACCCCGCATTCCGGAGGTGAGCCAGCGGAACCCCGACTTCCCTGGCGCCCTAAAATGCCCCCTCGGTAATGGGGGACCCCTAAAGTTTGGATCCTGGCTCCCCCCCCGCCTCCAGGCTCTGGCATCCCGGAGCTGAAGACCATCCTGATGGGCGTGGTGCTGGAGGACTACCTGGCCATCCAGAACTTCGGAGCCAAGGTGGTGGGGCTGACCTGCACCCTGGCGTGCGGCAGCACCGTTTTCCTTGGGAAAGTGGTGAGGGATCCCCTTCTGAACCCCAAAATCCCCAGCGGTTCCGTTGGTGCGGGTAGGGGGGGATGCTCAGCACTGTGTTCCCCCCCGCCCAGGGTCCCTATGTCCACCTCTCCGCCATGGCCGCAGATTATCTGGGGAAGATGAGGACCACGGTCATAAAGGAGTATGAGGTGGGGGTGCCACCGCCTAAAAAAATGAGTGGAGAGACTTGATTTTATCCCCAAAAAGTTGGGGTTCTGCCTAACACCGCCCCCCCCCCCCCCCACCCTACAGAACAAGTTCAAGCAGCATGAGATGCTGGTGGCAGCTCAAGCCGTCGGGGTGGCCACAGTTTTCGGGGCGCCCATCAGCGGTGAGGACCCTCCTAATCCCACCCTGGCTCTCCTAAACCTCTCTCTGATCCCTTTCCCCGTTTTTCCAGGGGTGCTTTTCAGCATCGAGGTGATGTCTCCCCACTTTGCCGTGCGGGATTACTGGCGCGGCTTCTTTGCCGCCACCTGCGGCGCTTTCATGTTTCGGATCCTGGCCGTGTTCAACAGCGAGCAAGGCAAGGCAGGGCAGGCAGGATGTGCCCCCTCTTCCCCTTTACCCTCCCCCCATGGCATTTTTGTGGTGCTCACCACCAAATCCACACCCTCATTCCTGTCCCCCCTCCCAGAAACCATCGCTGCTGTTTTTAAGAGCGACCTCAAGATTGATTTTCCCTTCGACCTCCTGGAGACCTTCTTTTTTCTGATTGTGGGGTATGGAGGGTCCGGTTTTGGGGTGCTGTCTGTGCTCTGCCTGTGCCCTGCTTATATCCTACCTGCCCTCTCCTCACAGGACCATCTGTGGGATCGTGGCCTGTGCTTATCTCTTCTGCCAGCGCTGGATGATGGTGGCCGTCAAGAAGAACCGGCTGACAGCCAAGCTCTTGGCCACCGAGTCCGTACTGGGCGTCCGTCCATCCGTCTGTCTGCACCCTCTGTGTCTGTGTGTCCATGCCGTGCAGGCTCTGTGTGTCCCCGTGTCCTTCCCATACACCCTGGGTGTCTGCGTGCCTTGAATGAAGTACCCTGGATGTCCCTGTGTCCCCCCCTGCACCCTGTCCATCTACCCTGGCTGTCTCTGTGTCCCCCCCTGCACCTTGCCCATCCACTTTATGTCCACCCTGTGCACTCTGGCCATCCATGTATGCACTCCATACACCCTCCACATCCACCCCATGCACCCTGAGTGGCCCTATGTCCTCTCCCTGCACCCCACGTGTCCCTACATGCTCCCCATGCACCCTGCTCACCCCACCCCATCCACTCTGGGTGGCCATGTGCATCCATATGTCCCCCTCAAGCGACCCTGGGTGCCCCGATATCCCCCCCTATGCACCCTGCCCACTAACCCCATTGACCCTGGGTGTCTCTGGGTCCCCTGTCTGTCCATCCGTCGATCCCCACGCACCCAGCCTCCCGTGTCTCCCTGCAGCAAACCCGTGTACACAGTGCTGGTGGTGCTGCTCCTTGCCTCCATCACCTTCCCACCCGGGCTGGGGCAGTTCATGGCCTCCAGGGTGAGTGGGGACACGTGGGGCTCCCTGGAGATCCCAAAACCTCCCAACCTGAGCGGGGGCTCAGGGTGTCCATTTGTCCAGCTCACCATGAAGGAGTATCTCACCTCCCTCTTTGACAACCGCACATGGAGCTTGCTGGCCCTCAATGCCTCAGAGGTGGCCAAGCCTGAGGGGCTCTGGCAGGAGTGGCACCATCCCTCTGCCACCATCTACGGCACCTTGACCTTCTTCCTGCTCATGAAGGTAACCATGGCCCACCCCAGTCTCTGTGTGGGCACCCCCAACATGGTGTCCCCAACATGGTGACCCCCTCTGTGTTTGCTGGTCCCCCCAGTTCTGGATGCTGATCCTGGCCACCACCCTGCCCCTCCCAGCAGGGTACTTCATGCCCATCTTCATCTATGGTGAGTCAGGGGCTGGGGAGACATGGGAGGGACAGCCAGGTCAAGGGAGGGGTGCAGGGGGTTAATTCAGCCCTTGGAGTGGGGATACTGGGGGTGTATCCAGGCCTTGGGGGGTAGAGGGTGGCATCCAGCTCCAGAAGAGCTGCAGGAGAGTGGTCACCTCTACCTCCACCATTTTTTGGGGGGGCTTCTGAGATCTCCCCAGCTCCCCTCCTCCCCCAATTTCAGGAGCAGCCATTGGGCGCCTGATAGGGGAGGTCGTGGCCCTGCTCTTCCCACGGGGGCTCTATTCAGAAGGACCCCTACGGCCCATTATTCCTGCTGGTTACGCCCTGGCTGGTGAGTCCAGATACCCCCACGGGCAGGGGGACACCCACGGGCGGGGGGACACCCACCCCTATCCCCTGACCCCCTGTTCCCCCCACCAGGTGCAGCTGCGTTCTCGGGTTCAGTGACCCATGCGGTGTCCACGGCCCTGCTGGTGTGTGAGGCCACTGGGCACCTGGGCCACGTCCTGCCCACTGTGCTAGCCGTGCTGGTGGCCAATGCCATCAGCCAGAAGAACCAACCATCCTTCTACGATGCCGGCATCATTGTCAAGAAGCTGCCCTACCTGCCCCCTATCCGCAGCCGGCACATCGCGTAAGCCCCCGCCCCAAAAAATCCATATTTTGGGGGGATTCTCCAGGAGACAAAGGAAATTTGAGGGGTTTGTGCTCCCCAGCTCCTACCAAGTGGTGGTGGAGGAGTTCATGGAGCGCCAGGTGGTGGCCTTGGCCAAGGGGGATGGTTTCCAGGAGGTGCTGATGGCCTTGGATACTTCTGCTGATGCTGAGTACCCCGTGGTGGAGAGCACAGGTGGGATGTGGGACCTGGGGGACACTGTCACCATGGAGGGTGGCCAGCGAGTCCCTGGCCCTGTGGTGGCCTTCTGTGCCTCCTCATGCTGTCCTCATGGTGTCCCCCCAGTGCACACTGGATATTCCCATCTCCATACCATGCCCACTCTGTCCCCATGGGGTGTTCCTGCAGTGTCCCCAAACTGCTCTTATGATGTCCTTTGATATTCCCAGGCTATCCTGTTCCCATTGATGTCCACATGTTGTGCCCTCAATATTGCCATGGTGCCACCCCAGTATTTCCATACTGTCCCCATGGTCTCCCCATGTCATTCCCTCAATATTCCCATACCATCCCCATGGTATCCCTGTACTGTATCAATGCTGTCCCCATCCCCTTTGGTATCCCCATGGTGTTTCCTCGATATTCCCATTCTGTCTCCACGGTGTCCTTATGGGGTGTCCCCTCAATATTCCCATACTGTCCTCATACCTTCACCCTGCTGTCCCTATGGGATGTCCCCTTGGTATCCCCAGTACTTCCTGTTGTTGTTCCCATACTGTTCCCTTGGTACTTCCATACTGTCCCCATACTGTCCCCTCTTTCCAGAGTCCCCCACTCTGGTGGGCACTGTCAGCAGGTCTCAGCTGGTCACCTTCCTCCAGAGCCATGAGCACCCCCAGGCCCCCCAAGGGGAGAAGGTAAAGGGGGTGAGGGGCACCCTGCCGCACCCAAAAAGCTGCTTTTCTACCCCAAAATTAACAAGCCACCTTCCTCAAGCTGGCCATCATGGGGACACTTGGGGACGACTGCACCATCGAGCCCATCATGCTGCAGTTCTCCCCGTGGACCTCCTTGCACCAGGTTTGGGGGGGGGGGGAAGGTGTCCGGGGAGCCCCCCCAGGTGTGTCACACTGAGGGGACACTGCGAGGGTGCTTCTGTCCCCACGTGTCCCTGTTGTCCCTCTCCCAGGCCTATCACCTGTTCCAGCTGCTGAAGCTGCAGCGAGTCTTTGTCACCCGTTCTGGGGAGCTGGTGGGAGCCGTGAGCAGGGCAGAGGTGAGGGGGGAGAACGGGGAGAAAAGGGGAAAAAGGGGCCAATGGGGACGAAAAAGGGAGGAGAAAAGGGGAGCAGTGGGGGGAAAACGGGGGAAAAGGAGAAGGGAAAGTGGGGGGAAAGCCCCTATCCCATCTCCTCTGTGCCCTTCCAGCTGCGGAGAGCAATCGAGGACCTCGCCAACCCCAAGTGATGACGTTTTGGGACCACAGGGGACCCCTCCCCAGGGATGTCCCCCAAGAAAAGAGGAGGAGTCCTGACCCCCCAGGTGGTGTGGAGGGTCTGGGCTGGGGGCGCCGGTTCTCCGGCAGAGCGTGTTGTGCATTAAACACATTGACCCACCACTGCTTCCTGCTACTCCTCTTTCTCCCACCGGTTTCTTTTGGGGGGGGGGTCATCCCCTCCCAAACCCAACAACAATGCTTGAAACCGCCAACATCACCCCAAAACTGCCCAGGACATGCACCGAAGTGCCCCAGTCTCTGTAACACCCCCCTATACTCCCCTCCTAAAACTACCAGCACATAATTATCCTTATTTTAATTACTACAATTAATAAGGGGGTGGGTGTTTAGTGACCCCAAAATCCCGGGGGAATGGGAGACCGAGCCCCCCCGCCCTTTGGTGACCCCCGGGCTGGGGCGCAACGGGTTTGGGCGGCGTATCGGGCGCTAACGAAGCCGTAATTAAGCCTGGGGGGGTTAATTAGGCACGGCGGGGCAGGTTGGGCAGGGCGGGCATGCCCGGGCCCGGCGCAGCAAGGGTGAAGCGGGGTCAGCGCCAGGGAGACACCCCAAAAGTGGGGCAGGAGCTGGGCTGGGCTCCGGGCTGAGCGCTGGGAGCGGGGCTGGGCTGTGGCACCCACGGGAGGAGCGAGGGGAGCGAGGAGAGGGGTCCGCAGCCCCCACAGCGCATGGGGGGGTTGGGTGGGTGCGTGATCAGCACTCCCAGCCCTGCCCGTCACCCCAAAAGCCGCGCTCCGCCTGTGCCTCAGTTTCCCCACGGCATCCCCAGCCCCTGGGCTCCTTGCCCGGCCCCGCCCTGGGCACACAGGCGACAGGGGCTGCCAGGAGCCCCGGCCCGGGGTGTCCCCCCCATCCGGCCCCTCCCGCTGGACTTTGAGCCGCGATCGAGGCCGGCGCCGGGGCTGAGACCGACAAACTCGTGACACCCACAGGCCAAAATGCCCCCAAATGGCGTGAAACCGCAGCTTTCGCAGCACGATGTTGTTCCGCCCCTTATTATGGCTCGGGCAGAAAAAAAATGTCAAACCCCTTTTTCCGGCGTTTTCCTACCCCGTCATTTGCAGGCTCCGGGCAGCCGGGGCGGCCGGGCTTGGGCTTTGGGGGAGCGGCGGGGGATGAAAAGGCCAAATTCCTCCTGGGTTTTGCTGGGGAAAGAGGCCCCGCATGGGAAACACTCCCGGAGCCGTGTGAAACCCCTTAAAATCCCTGATACGCCCTAAAAAACTGTAACCCCCTTAAAAAACCCTCTTTAACTCATTTAAACCCCCATTAAAAGGCCTAAAGACCCCAACTTTTAAAACTCTCTTAACCCCCTCAAAATTCCTAAAGAAACCGCTTAAAAACCTTAAAATTCCTAAAAACCCCCAAAACTTTAAACCTTTCTAACTGCCCTCTAATGTCCCCAAAACCCTTTAAAAATTCTTAAAGCACCTTAAAAAACCTTTAAAAACCCTCTTTAAATCCTTTAAATTCCTTTAAAAATGCCCTTAAAACCCCTAAAATCCAGGGGAAACCCTCTCTCTTTGTCCCCCAAATTCCCTCAATCTCTGTGAACCAGTGGGAAAACACAATATTCTAGAAAACCAAAAAGCACATATTTTTATTCAAAACCCCACACAAATCCCCATAAATCCATGAAAAAGGGGAGTGAAAAAGCATCCAAGTTTTGGTTTTTTCCCCCTTTTTTCTCTCTCAAACCTGACACAACCTTTAAATCCTCACAATAAATATACAAAAATAGAATAAATTAGGTTAAAAAATACAAGGCAACACTGGCAGAACAGTGTTAAAGGGGAACAAAACCACCCAAAAACCCGGTGGGAGAGGAATAAATAGGGAGAAAAAAAAGGAAAAATAAATCAGTTTTGGGACTGAGCCCCTTTTTTCTTGAAATGTGGGGGAAAAATAAGAAGAAAAATCCCTCCCCCAGCTCCAAACAAGCTTGAAATTCCATTTCTTTTTAGGAGGGAGGGAAGGGGCAGCACCTGTTTCATCCCCAGGTGGGGAGACAATATTAATAACACTATAAAAGAACCCTTAATAATTACAGAAATAATAAATAAACCCCTCGGGGAGGAGGGGGGATCTTCATGTGGTGTTCTAGGGGGTTTGGGGTCAGCCCGGGGCCCCCCCAGCTCCCGCCTGCTCCTGCAGCCCCAGCAGGCTGTAGGCAATGCGCTTCTGGTGGCCCGGCAGGCGCACCCCGATCCGCTTGATGTCCCTGGGAAAACGGGAAAATGGGAAAAGAGTCAGGATTGGTGGAGCCGTAAGCCTGGAATGGGGCTGGGAGAGGCTGGAGCCAGCAACGGCCACACCCCAGGAGCAGCGTCCTTAGGGTGGGGATGGATGGATGGGTGAGTGGACATGGCTCATCCTGAGGGATGGACAGATTGACATGGTTCATCCCAAGGCATGGATGGATGGACATGGCTCATCCTGAGGGATGGACAGATTGACATGGTTCATCCCAAGGCATGGATGGATGGACATGGCTCATCCTGAGGGATGGACAGATTGACATGGTTCATCCCAAGGCATGGATGGATGGACATGGCTCATCCTGAGGGATGGACAGATTGACATGGTTCATCCCAAGGCATGGATGGATGGACATGGCTCATCCTGAGGGATGGACAGATTGACATGGTTCATCCCAAGGCATGGATGGATGGACATGGCTCATCCCAGCCTCTCTGGCCAAGGAACATCTAATTTTATCCCATCCCTCGGGCCACCAAGGCCATGGAAGTGGTTTCCGTTCCCAGCACATCCCTGTCCCACGGGAGCTGGAGGGGGGGGCATGGGGACAGTGTGGGGACACATCCTAGGGACAGCAGGGGAGTGGTGTGGGGACAGTCTGGGAATATCAAGGGGACAGCACAGGGACTCACTCGCTGGTCATCTGCAGGACCTTCTCGATGGTGCTGTAGCCTGAGGCCATGAAGGTCTCGGTGTACTGGGGCATCCGGATGGACTCCAGCCACTCCGGGACCGAGCGGAATGGGACGCCCTCGGAGCCGCTGGTGCTGGGCAGGCGGATGGATACCCTGTGGAGGTGGACAGGAAAATGATGCAAAAATAGAAAGATGCAAAAAAAGCAGTGCAGAAATGTGAGGCTGGAAAAATGACGTGAAAGCAGAAGGGCGGAAAAATGATGCAGGGAGGAAACGATGCAAAAAATGATGCAAGAATGGAGGGATGCAAAAAAATAATGCTAAAATGGAAGGTGCAAAGAACAATGTGAAAATAGGAAGATGCAAAAAAATGTGAAAATGGGAGGCTGCAAAAAACAATGCGGAAAGGTGAGGACACAAAAATACTGCAGAAATGAAAGAATGCAAAAAATGATGCAGGAATGGAAGGGTGGAAAATAGAGTAGCGAAAATGGAAGGATGGAAAAATAACACGGAGTTGAAAAGATGCAAAAAATAACGTGAAAACTGGAAGATGAGAAATTCTGCAGAAATGGAAAGGTGAAAAAAATAATGCAAAAACCTGGAAGGATGCAAAAATAGTGCAGAAACTAACTGATTCAAAAAATTATGTGAAAGTGGAAGGTTAAAACAATGATCCAGAAATGGAAGGATGCAAAAAATTACGTGAAAATGGAAGGATGGAAAAACAATGCAGAAATGGGAAGATGCCAAAAAATAAATGCAAAAATGAGATGATGAAATGATGATGCAGAAAATGAAACGATGCAAAAAGTGGAAATGGGGAAATACCAAAAAATGATGCAGAAATGGAGATGCCAAAAGCAAGATGAGAGTGCAGAGATGCAAAACCCAACCCAAAACAGCACCACAAGAGTGCAAAAAATAATGCACCAAATACGAAGATGAAAACAAAATGATGCAAAAACGATAGAAGACACAAAGATGTGCAAGAATCAGAGAATCCCAGACTGGTTTGGTTGGAAGGGACCTTAAACCCCACCCTATTCCCCCCCTGCCACGGGCAGGGACACCTTCCCCTATCCCAGGCTGTTCCAGCCTGGCCTTGGACACTGCCAGGGATCCAGGGACAGCCACAGCTGCTCTGGGCAACTGCCTCCCTCCCTCTCCTTGTCCCCCATCCCATCCTGGTGCTCCCCAGGATTGAAATCTGTATGGTCCCCTGTACGCACCGGGGGTCAAAATCTGCCAGTGCCTTGAGGGACTCAGGGGCACGGATGAGTTTGTCGAGGATGCTGACGATGTCAGCAAATTTGGGGCGCCGGCAGCGCTCCTGCTGCCAGCACTGCATCATCAGCTGGTAGATGGCCGAGGGGCAGTCCAGCGGCGCCGGGAGGCGGAAGCCCTCGTTGATGGCCTTCATCACCTATAAGAGGAGGAGGAGGGTCAGGGTGGTCCCCCCAAAAAAGGTGCCCATTCACAGAATCCCAGAATGGTTTGAGTTGGAAGGACCTTAAAGCTCACCTCATTCCAGTCCCTGCCCTGGGCAGGGACACCTGCCACTATCCCAGGTTGATCCCAGCCTGGACTTGAATGTTTCCCAAAACACTGGTAATGGTGGAGGGTGGGCACTCACCTCGTGGTTGGAGAGCTCCCAGTAGGGTCGCTCGCCGTAGGACATCACCTCCCACATGACGATGCCATAGCTCCAGACATCGCTGGCAGAGGTGAATTTGCGGTAGGAAATGGCTTCAGGTGCTGTCCAACGTATTGGGATCTTCCCACCCTACAGCAACATTGGTGTCAACCCTGCACCCCCAAAAAACCTCCTCACCTTGTTCAACCCCCCCAACGCGGTCACTGTGATGGACAATCACCCACCTTGGACAACCACCTCAGCATGACCAACCACCCCCTCACCTTGGACAACCACCCTTCCATAGCCAACCAGCCACCCTGTCACGTCAGTGACACTCACGCTGGTGGTGTAGGTGGCTTCAGGGTCATCTTCCAGCACCCTCGAGAGCCCGAAATCAGACACTTTGCACACCAAGTTGCTGTTCACCAGGATGTTCCTGGCAGCCAGGTCTCGATGGACATAATTCATGTTGGCCAAGTACTTCATGCCGGCGGCGATGCCCCTCAACATCCCCACCAGCTGGATGACGCCAAATTCGCCCTCTTTTTCCTGGGAAAA